TTAACCAAAACATGGTAAATAATTGAGAGCAGTCTTAATCCTTGTTTCTTAGTAGTTCACTAGTCTTCTTATTTAAGCACATCACCTTTGTGATTTAATTGTGATCTTTTGAGTGTAATTTGCTTCTTTCATTAACACATCCCATACACATGGGTATGACTGTATATGTCTGCGTGTACCTGGTGCTTGGTACATTTATGATAAGTTCAGTTGTTTTATGTTAAAAACAAATTTGTTTTCTGACAGTACTTTTTTATAAACCTTTTTCTCTTACTAGTTATGTTTTTGTTTGATTTTGAGATCTGTATTAATGCATGGTCACTGTTATTTAAAACAATGTGTTTAGACCTCTATACATGAAGAAGATTAAAATTTTTCTTGAAGAAAAGTGTTATATCTAATTATGAATCTATTTTATTTTTAAAGCAAAGGCTAGGTCATGATCTTATAACCTTCAGTGGATATCAGTTCAATCTTACAAACCTTTAAGGTTTCTTGAAAATCTGAGACTCTCTAATTCACAGCTACTTTCACTAATGCCATGTGTGTATGTGTATGTATGTTTTAAGCCAAGGGGATAGGGTTACAATGAAAAGAACTCTGGCTCAGGAATCATGGTTTGTCTTTTGGGGTGCCCACTCTGCCATGAACTACCTGGGAGTGAGTTGAACTAGATGTAATCTAAGGTACAGTATATCCTGGCTTTGAGTATTAGAATTTCAGTCTGAGGATTGAAAAAAAATATATACATTGTATTATTAGTAGAGAAAAAACCGAAAGTGCTAGGGAACACCCACAATTTCAGAATCTCTTGAAAGGTGAATTGAGCTGTGATTCTACATCTTTATTATTACAAGTTTTTTATTTGAGGGGGAAGTGTGCTTCAGATATGTTTAGTTTAATCAAACTGGACATAGTTTATTTTTTCATCAATTGAAAGGTCAAATCTGTTAAAATAACAAAAGGAAGAGAATATTCTTGTTTCCCTTTTATGGGAGAATATTTCAGGGTATGAAAAACATTATTTTCTTTCTTGAGCTATTTAAGATTTTTATGCTCTGCTATGAAGCCCTGTGGAACAAAGCCAGGCTGAGATAATTCCATCAAATATGTATCCCTCCCCCAGTACCTGGAGCGTATGTAGTAAGCACACTTAACAGTGGTGCTTGCCACTGCTGTTCTTGGTGTTATCCTTCAGATATTGTCATTCTTTGTGAGCCTTCCTTATGTCATGAGACAAGGGATTTGGCATATTCCAAATAGTTTTTGCGAATGTCTTAGACTATAACTAATATAGTGTTGTTATAAAATCTAGAAATAAAAGTCTTTTGAAGGAAGCTTTATCCTATATCATTAAGTGCCACTGGAAAATTATATGGGTCTTTGGATTCTACTGTAGATGGGACTTTGGTTTCGATTATTTCTGGGGAATATGTATGTTTGTGGTGCTACAATGGAAAACCTTTGAAAAGTACATTTTACAAGTAGTGTCAGTGTTTTTTCAGTGTGCCACTATTTCCACAGTTTTATTGAGGCATAATTTACATACCATTCACCTATTTTAAGTGCACAATTCAGTAATTTTTAGCAAGTATATAAAGTTGTGCAACCATCACCAGAATGCAGTTTTAGAACATTTCTGTCACCCTGAAAAGATCCCTGCTGTCTGATTGAAGTCACTTCCTTCTCCCATCTCTAGCCCTAGACAACCTTGGCCTACTTTCTGTCTTTAAAATTTTGCCTTTTCTGGACATTTCATGTAAATAGAATCATATGTGGTCTTTTGTGACTGGCTTCCTTCATTTAGCATGATTCGGGTTCATCCATGTCATAGCATTTATCAGCAGTTCATTCCCTTTATTACTAAATTGCATTCCATTATTATACTTTTCTACAGTGATTGCTAATATTGGTATTATATCAGAATTTTTAAATTGGTGAATGGAATCACAGAGTGCAGTAATATTCAATTGGACTTCCTGTGGTGATGGGAATGTTCTGTGGTGAACTGTCCAACATGGTAGCCACTAGACAGGTCTCACGTGAGAGGCCAGAGGGATGTGTGGGAGGTTAACGTTGTCTAACCGGCCCCTTCTCAAGTTGCTACTGATGCCCTCAGCCCTTAGGACAGGACCCGAATCCTCTTTGTGTGTGACAAAGTGAAAAGGGTTGACAGCACTGACTAGGGATCCCTCCTCTGTATTCCCGTTCTGCCGTAGGTACTAATTGGATGGGATTGGCATTGTCTGCTTGTTGTAATCTTCTTCAATCCGATTAGGAACTTTTTGAAGCAGGTCTGTCTTATTTTATTACTATTTTATCAGAGTGTCTCACACAATGTCATTCACATAGTGGTACCTAGTAAATATTTGTTGAGTAAACAATTATTTTGTGTTTAGTGATTGTCATTATGGTTCAACACAGCACTGAGAAGCAGCTTTTTTCTTTAATGTTCATGTAGCTCTGATTTACTTGGTCTTGCAGATTAAAAACTAGTTCTCTTCTACCACTACCACGACACATCTTTTAAATAGAGGCTTTAATTCTTATTTTTTGGCAGAACAAAATTATTTTGTGAAAGCCACAGGATGTGTTTAGTTAATAAACATCATCGTTAACTGTGTCTGACCAAGACTATACTTGATACCTAGAATTTAAAAAGAGAAAGGGAAGCCTCTGTATACTGCAGTCCTCAGCTCTGGCTCTGCCCATCTGGACAAAGGAACAGGATGATGATGCTGGCGTCGGTGCTGGGGAGCGGCCCCCGGGCGGGCCTCTGCTCTGGCCCCTCCTGGGGCCCGCACTCTCGCTCCGGGCCCGCTCCACCTCCGCCACTGACATGGACCACAAGAAGATGGTGCAGGAACACTCCAGGGCTGCCACCTCTTCCTGCAACCAGTCAGCCATCAACGTGGCAACTGAGAAGCCGCCTGTTACCTCTCGCTGTCCATGAGCCTCTGTCCTAGCTGCTCAGTCTTCTCCTCCCTCCTCCACTCAACTCTTTGTAGACAGAACCGTATCTTGACTGTTGTTGTGATACCCAGTGCATAGTACAATGCCTTACACGTCAATGTTTATTGAATGATCTGTTATAACAGAAATGATAATATGGAATAGGAAACTAGAATTTGTCTTAATTCCTAATTGTTATATAGTTAATGTTTTATTTTTATTTTCACCTAAAGATATTGTAAAGTGTTACCTAAAGATGTATGTGAAGTGTTAGCACTTCCAGTTTCATGATATTTTTTTATAGAGCTGTGCATTCAGCATTTTCCTGAGAGTCTGAGAGATTAAGTAAGTTGGTCAAGATCACCAGTAAGTGTCAGAGCTTAGAATCAAACTCACATCTGAGTTTTAACTATTTTGCCAAGTAGCATTTCTAAATTATAGCACTAAATTGTTGATCAAAGCTGAAACTCAGTAGATTTGGAATCTTCATGGTTCATTAGTTAGTCTCAAAATGTTCTTTTGGCATTTACATTATGATCATTAATAGAACCTTAGTTTCGGGATAAATTAGGGGTAACTCTTTGATATATAGTAATACTATGTTTTATACCTTGCTGTGGTTCACAGGTAAAAGTCATTCATCCATAGATAGATTTTTCTGTGTTTCTTCTCTCCCTCTCTTTTTCCACTTCACCCTGTCCTTTCTTCTTCCCCCCTCAGCATTCTCTCATATAGCTCACATATTGTCTCTTATATGAATTGACGTAGGCATAATTAAAAACAAAGAAAAAAGGCTACCAATCTTTCTAAATGTCAGAAACATGTTACAGATCAAATGTTGGAACCAAAAGAAATATAAAGGACAGTTTGATGTATACCTTATGAGGAAATAAGGATTTGTGAAATTATTGTCATTTTTTTCTAAAGCATTTTAATCTAAAATTCATTATATGTGGGGCAGTGGCCTGAGACCTGGGGAATGGGGAGAATATAAAGCACTTCTGGTGTATCCTGTTCCTATTGTGAAGAAGCTCACAATCTAGTACCCCCAGGCTGTGGGACAGTACCCGTCTGTGGCCTGTTAGGAACCAGGCTGCACAGCAGGAGGTGACAGTGGGCAAGCCAGCGGAGCTTCATCTGTATTTAGAGCTGCTCCCCATCGCTCACATCACTGCCTGAGCTCCACCTCCTGTCAGATCAGCAGTGGCATTAGATTCTCATAGGAGCACGAGCCCTACTGTAAACCATGCATGCGAGGGATCTAGGTTTCGTGCTCCTTATGAGAATCTAATGCCTGATGATCTGAGGTGAAGCTGAGGCGGTGATGCTAGCACTGGGGAGCAGCTGCAAATACAGATTATCATTGGCAGAGAAGTTTGACTGCACAGTAAATATAACGCACTTGAATCATCCTGACACCATCCCTCCTGCACAATCCGAGGAAAAATTGTCTTCCATGAAGCCTGTCCCTGGTGCCAAAAAAGGTTAGGGACCACTGGTCTAGTAAATACAAGAAACCCCAATCTTAACAAAATAATTAACAGTAACATAATATTTTATAATATAATTTGTGATTCTTTCCAAATTAATTATAACTACTGTAGGAATTTAGAAACAGGAACAAAATCATGTAGGTTGAGTTACTCAGAGAAAGAGAGCTGAAGTAGAATTTGTAGATAGTTCTTAAAGGGTGGTTGAAATTTGAATATAGGTGAACACAATTGATATAACATTATTTTATTCTGTTTTCCTGTGGCCAGAATTTATTTTCTAGGCATCTAAGAAGTATTTCATTGCTAGGTTGCCTAGTTCAATAGTTTCTCCCATGGTTACAGCAGAAACATATAAGGGTGTGATTTTTTTTTTTGCTTTTGGAATGTCTGTTTTAACTACTAAAACATCTGTCATATAAAGGAGTATGATATGATTTGGCACTGTAGCTTTCTCTGTATGACATACAAAAGTCATTTTTGTTCTATTCCTGTTTATTTTACCAGCGTAATCTTACCACTTCTCTCACATACTGTTTGCCAGTTCCTCCAAAGTTCCATGTTCTCTTTGCCTCCAGGGCTTTGGCTGTGTTGCCTTCTGCGTGTATCACTGCCCTTTTTCTTGTCTCCTCCTCACCTTTTCAGGTTCAAATTTGATGTCAGTTTATTCTAGGATGCCTTCTCTCATCTTCCAAAAACTAAATTAGTTTTGAATGTTCACAAAGCATCCTGACTTCACCTCATCCAACTGTAATTTCCAATTTATTTGTCACAAGATATTAAGCAAGCTCCTTGAGGTTAGAAATCTGAAGTCTTTGTTGTTGCTGTTGTTCACTGTTACGTCCTCAGTGCCCCAATACACTTTCAGTAAATATTTGTTGGCTAGGGACGGCTCTTAGGAGTTAGATGAGGTACCTTTTAGGTGACCAATGAATATCATCTAACAGATAAGTTTATTTCACTAAAATAATTTATATTGGTGACTCTGAACTTTTTTAACTAATGATATAACTGTGAGCATCTTGGAATACAGTGAAGTAGTTTCTGTACAGTGAACTTTCAGAACTTAATTGTTAACTTAGTGTTTTAGATTTTCCTTCATGTTCTCTTACTGTGTTCTCCTGTTAATATTGCTACTTCAGCTATTTTTATTTATTTTCAAACCATGTCTTTTTTTTTTTTTTTTTTATGAGGCAGAGTCTCACTCTGTCGCCTTGGGTAGAGTGCAGTGGTGTCATCATAGCTCACCGCAACCTCAAGCTCCTGGCCTCAAGCGATTCTCCTGCCTCAGCCTCCCGAGTAGCTGGGACTACAGGCATGTGCCATGATGTCTGACTAATTTTTCTATTTTTTAATTTTTCTATTTTTAGTAGAGATGGGGTTTCACTCTTGCTCAGGCTGATCTTAAACTCCTGAGCTCAAGCAATCTTCCTGCCGCGGCCTCCCACAGTGCTAGGGTTACAGGCGTGAGCCACCGCGTAAGGCCTCAATCAGTATCTTCAATCCTGCATCTATTTTTGGTGTGTGTGTGAGGAGGTGTATTTGTATGTTAAATATTTTTCTATCCCTTTATTTTTTATTTTATTCTTGTTTTAGGTCTATGTCTTGTAAGCTACATTTACCCAAATTTTATTTTCATGCCCGTTTTTGTAATCTCTGCTTCTAATAGGTGGTTTTAATCCATTTGTATTTATTGTGATTACTGATATATCTGGATGTATTTCTACCATCTTTTGTTTATTCTCTGCTTTTTTCTTTTCATGTGCCTGCCTTCAGTTAGATGATCATTATTTTATATTTTTCCTCTGCTTTTTTTAATCCTGTAGATTATATTTCTATTTTTAAATTAAATTTTGCCAATATTTTTTCCTTGTAATCGTACCAAAGTTGTTAGCATGCCTTATCACCTAAACATCCCCTTATCTATCTTATTAGTTTTTAGAGTTTGAGTTTTACACTTTTTAAACCTTCAAATGTTACTTTTTGTATGGTTAACTGTTAGTATTTTAGCAATTTCTGTGATAATTTTATTCTTGTATCCCATGGGTCCTCTGTGTCCTCTTTTCTTCCTGATCAACTGTATCTAGTAAGAGCCCTTTTAAGAGATCTTCAATAGGTGGTAAAATTTTTTCCCTTTGTATGTCTAAAGAGTATTTTTCCTTCATTCTTGAATTGTGGTTTGGCTGCATATAAAATTCTAGACAGTTATTTTTCCTCAGCTTTTTGAAGATCTTCCTTCATTGTTTTCTGACATCTATTGCAGCTGCTGAGAAGCGTGTTCTCAGTCTCATTCCATTGAGGTAAACTATATTTTTCCCTCTGATAACTTTTAAGATTATATTTTTATTAATATTGATGATATGCATTTTCTTTATAGTATATCTAATGTGGATTCATGTTTATATAGTGTAGTACTCTTTTTTTCTGTTTAATGTTTTATCAAGGTCTAACTTGCATAAAATATAAGCTCAATTAAATTTTATGTACACATATACCTATGTTACCGCTACCTAGATCAAGATTTAGAACATTCCTAGCAAACTATAAGGCTCACTTGTGCCCCCTCCTAGTCAATACTAAACTCATTCAGAGCTCTTTCATTATGGGGATGTATATCTCCAGTTCTGGGAAATTCTCAGCATTTGTCTCTTCATGTGTTGCTTCTCCACCAGTCTCTGCCCTTGGGACTCCATTAGCAAACATCGCAGCCTCAGTGTCTGTCACTTAAGTGCTCTTTCCTGTTTTGTTTTGTTTTGTTTTTTATCTTTTTGTCTACCTATATTAAGTTCCAGGTAGTTACCTTTCAGTTTACTAGTTATCTCTTTCTCTATGTCTTATATAGAATATGTTTCATTGATTGTTTCTTTTTATTTCAATGACTTAGTTTTTTTATTTTCAAGATTTCTAATTAGTTTTTACCTGAGGTTTTATTTCTGTACATTATTTTTTTTAATTTCTTGCTCTTATGATGGCTCTTCCACTTTCATTTATATTTTGAACATCTTCAAGATGCTTATTTTATAATCTTTGACAGATTGCACTAAGCAAATTGCTTCCGAAATGAATTTTTGTTCCTTTTATTGATTTTTGTGGCTTGCTTCTTAGCATTATATTTCTTCATATGTCTCAGAACTCTGTTTTGGAATTTACTTTTGGGTGGAAGTTTTTCCTTTTTGTTTCAATGTCTCCCCTCCTACCCATCCCTCACCCTACTTCCCCCACCATGATAGTTTGCTGTTGATTTTGGGGCTATTGGCAAATGCATTCTTGGAGCCAGAGGGTAGCTGGCTCCGTTCCTGGTACTAAGGCAGTGTTTTTGTCCCTCACCTTCCTAGACCCACAGTTTGTGATTAAAATTGCAAGGGTGGCAGCCTGCTCTTGGTTCTTGCTGTGCTCTTGGCCAAAGAATGACCAGACACACCAAAATGTAAGGTCCAGCCTCTTGGCGGACTGTCATGCTAGTTCTTTGGCTCCTTGCTTGGAAAAAAAAAATCACAAGCAGGGCCAATGCGACAGAGTGACCACAAGCAGGAAGCAGTTTCACACGAGTAGCTTTTTATTATAAAATGAGACAAGTCTATCTCCGCAAATGGAGAAAGACTGACTGACTGACTGACTTACTAACTGACTCTCTGGGAATTCTTGAGTTGTTTCCTTTTATTGGCCTATTCTGGGGAAGGACTTTTGGGAGGTGTGGGATGTTACCAAATGATTAACAGGTGTTCTCAAGGTCATATCTGCATATGCAAGCTCCTTCTCTAAAAGCTCTACCTTGGGGAGGAGATGAACCACAACGTAGATTTAAGCTAATGACATAATAATTAGCCTTAGGTTACTCTAGGTCACTTTCCAAATCCTGTTACGCCTAGGCTGGGAAATTTCCCAGATTGGTAAAATGTTCCCTCCTTCCCCAGGTGTGGCAGTTGCTCAGGATAGGATTAAGGGTGGGGCAGCACCAAAGCAGGGCGCCCTGTCCCTAGAGGAGCTGGAGATCCTACCTATCTGCATAACAAAACCATGGTCTCAGTCAATAGGTTTTGATTGCTTTTTTTAATCAGCCTCATATTATGAGTAGAAGAACCCTGATTTAGCCCTACCTTCAAGTAGTGAATCTAATATGAGTCCCTTATATCCAGCAGGGTACTTTTAGTTCCCTTTAATCCCCAAAGGAAACCACCCAAACCTGCTTCTAGATCCAGAAACCAGTGAGTCTGTAGCTTCAGGTCCTGCTCGACATTTTTGAGTTTGCAGATCTTTTTTGTTGCACAGAAATGATCCTTATTTGACCTCAGCTGTGTCTTTGTTTTTCTCTCTTTATGCTTTATATGCTTTATTCATTTATGCTGTATGGTGCCAACAGGGTTTCTCAATTTGCCATAAGATGTTAGCCCAGAAGTGCTATTCATTGTAAAACTATTCTTCATGGAATGATAGTCAAAGTATATGAAAAAGGGGGGACGTGGAGGCTGGAATTGATTTGTTATGTGGCGAATATGCATTCATTGCCATTATCTCCAAAGTGCCATTTCATTTTTAATATTTGCTCGGTCGGTAATCTTTGTCATAGTTTTTTTATTATAACAAGTAAAGTTTATGTCCATTATATAGAGCTTTTGGAAAACACAACAAAGCATACACATATACACACATGTAAACACATACACATGCAATGAGAATTACTTGTATTTCCACAGCCCAGAAATAGCTACAGAATATTTTGGCATTTATTCACGTTTTATACACATACACACTTATACACATACTAATATTCTTATTTTTTCCATAAGTTTTTTTTTTTTTTATTTCAATAGATTTAGGGAGTGCAAGTGGTTTTTTGTTACCTGGATGAATTGTGTAGTGTGAAGTCAAGGCAATATTGATATTTTAAAAAGCAAAACAAACCTAGTCTTGTTTTGTAGGTGAAGCTGTGAGTGCTGGTGATGCGTTGTGTGAAATCGAGACTGACAAAGCTGTGGTTACCTTAGATGCAAGTGATGATGGCATCTTGGCCAAAATAGTGGTAAGTTTTTATTTTGGTTACCTTCAACAACAAGATGGAGCTTTCTTAAATGTAGAGTTCCTTGAAATAAAGTTACCTTTTATTTTTACCTCTTTATTTATAATGTTGTATTGTTTACTACAATAATACATTTTTATTTCAAGTGTTTAAAATGTTTTAGTGTTAAAGTCTAGTAGCCTATTTTTCTGTATTTTCTAAATTTCCAGTAATGTGTATGTTATTTTTGTAATGGAATATTAGAGATATGTGAAAAATAAGTAAAATGAAATGCTTAAATCTACATATGGTAAAATCATGACTATTGAGGATTGTGTGGTATATTCACTGATGGAACCAAGAAGCATGTTTGTTTCCTAGCTTCACATTTACTAGATAGTGTGGGGCAGGAGCTAAGACTGTGGACTCTGGAGTCACACTGCCGACTAATTCATATAGCTAAAAAGTTCTGCCAGTTATCAGTTTTATAATGATGAGCAAATTCTTTAGTCTCTGTGCCATTTTCTTCATGGTAAAGTGGAGATGACAATAATACTACCTACATCAGGGGACGATAGTAGGGCAGATTATGAGAGAGAGCACGTATAGTCATCCCAAGACCTTTTACACACCAAGTGCTCAATAAATGTTGCTTTTCCCATTATTACAATTGTTTACTCAGCTCTTGGTGACCATTAGCCCTCGTGTCAGTCAGTATATTTGCCTAATAATTTGTATTGGTTGGTTGTCACCGGACAATAAGTATCCTTTTGCACCTCTACAGTTTGATTTGTACAGATAAGCTGTACATCTAAGTAGTCCTTGTTAATGTGTTTTTAGTTCTAATCCACCAGCTCACCTCTGCTTCAGGCATGGATATGATGCCTTCCTTTGTATATTGTGTTCAAAGACCACACTCTGGAATGTTATACTCTAATTAGATGTAAATCTAAAAACAGTCTTTTATTGTGGTTTTTACAAAAGAATCCTCTTTCTCTTTTTTTCCTAGCCACTTATGTTTTATTTTTGGAATCCTAATATGTCAGATTTCTTTTACTTGTCGTCTGTGCTATTAACAGCCAGGTCGAAATACATGTTAAAAAAATAGTTAACTTCCTTGTAGGAAATATGAATCAGAGGCTAAAATTTCCATACCTTTATAACTAAGAAAATATAAATAGTCATACCAAAAATAGTTTCCTCGACAAATAGATGCAGCATGTTGAAAAAGATTGCTTGAATTACCATATGTTATAAACCTAGCTACATTCTATTGTGTGTGCTTTTGGCAGGCTGTGTTCTTGGCCCTAGTTCTGGATTGTTTGGCTGTGAAAGTCTTCCAGAATTGATAGCATTTTCCACTTAGCTGCTTAGTAATGCATTTCAAATTGCCAGCCGTGTCAGTGGGTCAGCAATGCCTATTCATCTGGCCCCTAATGCTCTGAAAAAGGTGGGGGCAGGGGTGGATATAGTTGATAGCAGCTTTAGTGTCACAGCTATTTCCTTGCCAAAGAAAAGATTGTATGTATATTTTAGGCCTTTGTGGCCTTATTGTTATTCCACATGCTTTTTGGATAATGGGAACAGAAGCATATTCATAACACAATGTATGCAATTTTATTGGGAAAATTTGAAAAAAAAATTAAGGTGATATTACTGGTGTTTTGTTTTTTGTCTTTCCACCCCATGCTACCTCCCACTCCCATCCACAACGACTAGCAAGACTTAAACCTTTATCACCTTTCTCTTTCACTGTGGAATAATTCTCATATTAACGCACATAATAAAGTGATTTTTCTAGGAATACATGTAAGTGATTTTTCTAGGAATACATGTAAGTGATTTTTACTTCCAGAACCAAGGAGCTGGATAATTGAGCTTATTAAAAAGCAGGGGATAATATAAAACTAAACATTACAAGTAACCCCTAAAATTCTAAACACTAAAACTCTAGTGTTTAGTTTTAGCCCACATTTTTGAAATGATTAGAAATTATAGCTTATTTTTCTCTCTTTAGGGATTTATTTCCTTAGTCTTTGAGAGGATTTTGTATTCTTTTTTCCCCCAACACTTTTGTTTCATTAAGCATTGCTCCAATTCTTTTCCATTAGTAATTAGTAAACTTAGAAAGTTTCCTAACCCTCAGAGCTCATGCCTTATTATTTTAAGAATAATGCACATACTAATAAGCATCATAATTAGTTTTACTCCGAAATGTCAAACTCATTCTAGAAGTTATGCTTTTCCTTATAATTACCTATATTAGTGAACATCCTGCAGCCTATCATTCTATTATTCATTAAATATATCTGTAATGAATCTTATTTAGAGTAATTGAAAAGAAATAATAGAAAATTTTAAAAGTATGACATCTTCCAGTGCTGAACTTATGAAATATTGTTATCTGACCATTTTCTAGGGATTTCTTTGAGTAAGTAAATTAGAATCAGCCCTTTCTTTATAAATTAATGCTACTGAAATGCTTAAAATATATTTATCTTGATTTTTTAAAAAATCGTCTTCAATCTTATTTAGGTTTTATTTTTTTAAGTTTTGTAAGTAGATATAGATAAAGAAGTAAATATAAAGAAAGATGTAAAAATATACTTAACATTTACGAGAATGGTTAACCAATTCTGTGTATATATGGAACGTTCTTTTTTTCTAGAGACTAAGTTTGCTGAAAAGATTTTGATTTACATTTTAATAAAGCAAATTTTGGGGGAATTAATTTCTTCAGAGCTCTTGGAATTCTGAAGCCATTGTATAGAAACTATCTTGGAAAGACAGATAGTTGAGATATGTAACCAAAATCTCCTGTTTTAGATTTGTATTAATTAACATCAAAAAAGAAGATGCTAGGTGTGTTGGCTCACACCTGTAATTCTAGCACTTTGGGAGGCTAAAGTGGACTGATTGCTTGAGGCCAGGAGTTCCAGACCAGCTTGGGCAACATAGTGAGACCCCATCTCTACCAAAAAAAAGAAAATGATAATGATAGCTCTTATATATTTGAAGGTTGTCAGAAAGAAGAGAGATTCTAGATTCTTCCTTTATTTCAGGAGGTAGTGTTAGTAACTGGAACGGGGAGAGTGGTAAAGGAAGGTGTAAGTGGGAGAAGGTGGTGGGTGGAAGGTGAAAGCAAGCTGTCTTGGAAGCAGCTTTTATCTCAAATTAAAAGACCTTTCTAACCAGTGCAGAATTACCCAACAAAGGAATAAAGTACTGTAGTCATGAGCCTTTCCATCTCTACGATTTTTTTTTTTTTTTTTGAACATAGGTTGAAGAAGGAACTAAAAATATACGACTAGGTTCACTAATTGGCTTGATGGTTGAAGAAGGAGAAGATTGGAAACATGTTGAAATTCCCAAAGATGTAGGTCCTCCAGCACCAGCTTCAAAACCATCAGTGCCTCGCCCCTCACCAGAACCACAGATTTCTATACCTGTCAAGAGGGAACACACACTCGGGACACTGCAGTGAGTATGTTTATTTGAATAAGGATGTTACAAAAAAACTGTTATGGCAGTTCTTAGGGCATTTTAGTCATTATCATAATTTAAACATCTTTGTACATTAAGTAGAAAGTTGCTGATCTTAGCATACTCAGACCTCAGAATGTTTATTTTATCATCATTATTCATTCAGTACACGAATAGTTACTGAATATCTGTACTCTGAAAGCCCTGCATGCGCGGTGAAGAACAAAACGGTCTATGTCCATGTTGAGCTTGAAACATTAGGTTTTAAAATTCCTGATGGAATTCAATATACCAAACTTCATATTGTGTTCTCTTTCATGGAATTTTGATTATTGTTATGTGAATTCCAGTTTCAAATGTATAACTGTTATAAAATGGAATTCTCATTTTAACATGCTTTTCTTTTCAAACTATTTTGCCTTTGAGTTTCTGTCACAGATTAGAGCTCAGTTTTGTCTGATTGTTCTGTAACAACACAGATACTTACTAAACATCATTTTCTTTAGCTTTATATGCTTTAATTAATGGACTCTGCAAATTCTAACAAGTTTCATTTATTTATTTTGGTATTCTCTATAATTATACAAAATTAGTTTTTCTTTATAAGAAAAAGTTCTTCATAGAGAAAAGCAGACCTTTTCATTTTTTAATATTTTTTCTTTTTGTCAGTTCTTGTTAGAAAAAAAAATCTCAGTATTTTTTGGAAATACTGATTTTTAAATTCCCTTTGTCAAATTATTGCTGACACCATTGCCTTAACTCCTGTTTATTTTTTCCTCTTTCATTTACCATGAAAATCAGAAGATAGTCTCACTGATGTCTTGTACTCAGATATCCCCTTGCAGCAATAATAGAATATGTCCTAACTGCTGAGATCAGTCATCGTTAGAGACTCACGTTGAGTCTGAGACCCTTCTGTGTAGGCTACAACCTGACCGATGTGTGAACCTGTTGGCCCACTCCATGGATTTCTTTTAAAAAAATTTTTTTAATTGCTCGGTTACTAGTTAATCTTACATAACAATTTAAAAATTCCAGTTTCTCTTGAAAAATCTAAAGGTTTGACAACACTGGGCCCATATCAGCTAAGCAACTTCCCTGAAATGCAATAAGTACCACAGTTGTTCCTTGCCATTTCTTAGTTTTATACTTCTAGACTCAGCCTGCTTTAATCTGTACTAATTGGGTTTATTTTCTTTAGCTGACTTTGTAGTCATTTATGTTTTCTACTTTGCTTAAAGGTCTTAGTGGAAGAGAGACACTACTAGGCATTTGACCCTGGCTATGCCTTATTTTCTTTACCTTTAAAATCAGTGTAATTGTTTTTGCCTTTCTTATTCTTCTGGAAAATATTTAAAGTAAAAGTGCTTTCATGTAAATACTAAGATCTTTAAAAAATATGAAGGCTATAATTCAACCTCAACAAAACAACCGAATTAAAAAATGGGCAAAGACTTAAATAGATATTTCTCCTAAGAAGATAAATAGATGGGCAGCAGGCGCATGAAAGATACTCAGTTTAGGGAAATGCAAATCAAAATCAAAATGAGACACCACTTCACACCCATTAGGATGGCTATTATCAAAAAAAACAAAAACAGAAAAACCCGGAATATAACAGGTGTTGGCGAGGATGGGGAGAAATTGGAACTCTTGTGCATTGCTGGTGGGAATGTAAAATGGTCCCGCTGCTGTCGGAAAGGGATGGCAGTTCCTCAGGAAATTCGAATCACCATATCATCTAGTAATTCCAGTTGTGGATATGTATGCAGAAGAATGAATAGCAGGAGACTGGATGAGATGTGTGTACATCTACGTTCATAGCAGCATTATTCCCAGTAGCAAAATGGTGGGAACAACTCACATGTCCAAAATGCTGTTTACATACAAATGAAATGTTATTCAGCCTTAAAAGGAAGGAAATTCTGACTTGTGCCACAACATGAACCTTGAAAACATGCTGAGTGAAATAAGTCAGTCACAAGGACATTTGTCTGTATGATTCCACTTAACGTGAAGTACCCCGAGTATCAAATTGATAGAGTAGAACCATGGTTGCCAGGGGCTGGGGAGAGGGAAGAAAGGAGAGTTAATTGTTTAAAGAAACAGAATTTCAGTTTGGGAAGATGAAAAAGTTCTGGAGATGGGGGATGGTGATGGTTGCATAACAAACAGTGTGATTGTACTTAATGTCACTCAACCGTACACCTAAAAATGCTTAAAATGGTAACTTTTATGTAT